TATATATATAACAAATTTTTATTGTAATTGACACAGCCCCGCGTCGTTTTACGCCGCGGTGCAAAGTCCAGCAAGTGCCGCACGGCCGACGACGTCCCGCCGCTATACCGTAGTCTTCTTCCCATTGTCAAAATAACATCGTCAACATACTGATCCGCACTCGCACACCGTCGTCATCTACGCTGCTAACCTATTGACGCCCTCTCTTCTTAGACTCCCTCTCCGGAATCGAACCCTTGATATTGATATNGACTCCCTCTCCGGAATCGAACCCTTGATATTGATATTGATATTGATATTAACTACTATCATAACATGAAACTAAAAAGTGAAAAATAAATATAGTTTAAAAAAACTAAAAAACACGCTTTTAAATCACATCGAACTAAAAAGCTAAAAATAATTTTTAAAATTAACTTAAAACAATAATGAACGAAAAATACTAGTATTATTGTGAAAAAAAGCGTGGGTGCTTTATGCCATATTTTTTGTATATTGAGCGCCTGACGCTTTTTTTCACAATAATACTAGTATTTTTCGTTCATTATTGTTTTAAGTTAATTTTAAAAATTATTTTTAACTTTTTAGTTCGATGTGCTTTAAAAGCGTGTTTTTTTAGTTTTTTTAAACTATATTTTTTTTTTGATAGTGATTTTAATCACTGTCAGATATCATTATACTTGATCCAACTATGTAACGTTACAACTGTGCCGAGACCCCCCTGTGCTGGGTTTTTTTATCTTAAATATGATTTTTTATGTATGTATGTTACATAAAAACTTATTAGTATTTATAGTATTTTGGCTGGCAGGATTCGAACTCTGTACCCCGAACTTATAATACTGTATAGTTAAGAACGCAACCACTGTGATGGTGATGAATAATTTTTATAAAAAGAATTATTTAAACTAGTTCAAAGTTTTGTTTTTAATTATTAGTACATAACATAAGCTTTAATTTGACATATGTTTAAAGGACACAGTATTTTCGGATCGTATTCAAAAGTCGAGTTTCGTAAAAAAGTTGCTACTTTGAATCTTCCCCTGTGGGTAGATAAAGAGTCGGATTATCAAAAAATTTATATAAAATGAAAGGTAAATACCAAAAGGTTTAAACATAAAATATTATTTTAATTTGTTAATATTTCAAATATTTATGGCAATTTTTAGGAAAAGAATGTCAAAATTTACTAACTTTAAAATTTATAGTTTGGGGGATTTTCACCAATTACAGGTAATGTGGTAAAATTTTTTTAATTTTTGAGGATAATGTTTGACTAGATACGATTTATCTTTTAACGTATCGTTGAGAAAAATCGGTACAGCGAGAACTGAGAAAAAATAGGGACAGACACAAAAAAAACCCAGCACAGTGGTGAAGTGGCATAGTTGGATCAAGTATAATGATATCTGACAGTGATTAAAATCACTATCAAAAAAAAAAAGCTTCGATGCAAGTCTTTAGATAGTGTTTAATTTTAAAAAATTGGTGTTATTCCAAAAGCTACATGATCTGCTAGTTCCTTATTAATATCCTGATTAAAATAAAGTATATTGAATGAAAAAGGGAATATTAAAAAATATTATTTCTCATAAAAAAATTGTGTTGATTCATACACTTTTCAATAAGTTATAGCATTATTAAGTTAAAAATAAAATCGGGAATTTTTACCCGAAAATAGCATTTGGTAGCCATTTTCACCACGAAGACAAGTCCAGAGGTCAAATTTTTTTTTTCATAATAAAGTACATAACATTAGCTTTATTAAAAATATATATAAAAGTTTCAGACCTTCCGGAACACTTTCAAAAATTAAGTTGAAAANATATATAAAAGCGTGTTAAAAACGTTTAACTCTTTTGATTTTTAACACGCTTATATTAGTTTCACTTGTATGTTGTTGTTGTTTGTAAGTTTGTAACTCCACGCGGCACGTGTTATTGTGTCGCGTATCCCGTCGTGTATGACCTTGAGACTATACTGTTGTAACTAGTGATGGGCATAATCGAGATATCTCGATTATGAAAATAATCGAAATATTTCGATTATTGAAATCATATCCATTATATAATCGAGATATTCTGATTTTTAAAATAATATTGATTATTCTATAATCGAGTGATTATTTCTAATGATTTCTCGTTTATTATAAAAACAATGATTTCTTGATCTTGAAATGTATATAATCGAATAAAAGTTATTTCGAATGATGTCCATGAAACGATGAAACGAGAGAATACTATTTTTAAGTTTTTATTTAGCATAAATTATAGTCGAATTATTATTAAATTGTTGACTTCGAGTCTTCTTATTTTCAACTCGTTCAATCGCTACTCATGACAACACCTTATCTGTCACATTTTTGGGAAGTATGTGATGATTAGAACAGGGGGGTCGCGGCACAGTGATGCNCACAGGGGGGTCGCGGCACAGTTGTGACGTGATATAGTTGGATCAAGTATAATGATATCTGACAGTGATTAAAATCACTATCAAAAATAAACGCTTCGATGCAAATCTTTAGATAGTGTTTAATTTTAAAAAAAATTGGTGTTTTATTCCAAAAGCTTCTTATTCTGCTGGTTCCTTATTAATATCTCGATTAAGATAAAGTATGTCGAATGAAAAGGGTTTATTAAAAAATATTATTTCTCATAAAAAAAATTGTGTGGATCCATACATTTTTCAATATGTCATAGCATTATAAA